ACACACACACACACACACACACACACACACACTATTATATTACAACTGGCACCAATGAAACCAACCTGACGTCAGCTTTGAGCTCTTTGTTTTGATTTTAGAATCGGCCACTTTGGTCTCTTGATTCACTCTTGATTCACTCGCATCAACCTCATCAGCGTCGTTTTCCTCAGGCAGCTGTAGAGGCTCTGATAAACCCACATGCTCGGCACACGCTGCTGAACGCAGTGAAGCATTCAGCAGCTGATGAGTGAGATATTTAGCATCATTCATTAAGTGCAGATGCATCAGGAGCGTCCTCTGTCCCTCTCCTCCTTAAATGAAATCCTAACACGTGCTCCGACTCGAAGTTAATCTTTCAAGAAGTCGCAAATAAATATTTACTATGGCGAACACAGACACAGAGCAGAATTGTCGGCCTGAAGACGAGCAGAAAATTTAGTCCGAAAAGGGAGGGTGGTCTAGTGATGTCACACGGCGTGCTGATTGCTTGCTGATTTGGTTCCTGCAGCTTTAATATCAGATTCACAGAAACACAATCTTACAAAACAGAAATGATTTGCATACGACAGCGTCTTATCTAAAAGGTCAGCACCTCTGTTACAGCCCTGAATTTATTCTGAAAGTTTGCATGTGTCAACTTCACCAGAAACAACAAACACTCAGAAACTTTCTCTGCTCATCTCCTCCCTCCTCTCGCCGCCTCACCCACCTCCTGCTCTTTAATTTCACTCCTCCTGCCCTTATCGTTCTTCCATCTCTCTAATCTCTCCATATCTCCCCGTCCTGACTGCGTCTCCCTCTGTCCACCTCCCTTCATCTCCTCCTCCCCGTCCCTTCCTTCTTTGTCCCTCCCCTCATCTCTCATTATCTCCTCCCCTCACCTCCTCTGCCTTCATCCATCTCCCGCCGTGGCCTCACTTTGAAACTAGATTTCACTCCTCTTTAATGTCTTTTTTAATCTTCTGTCACTCACTCCTTCACGAGCCTCGACAGATTTACAGTCTCACATGTTTTTCTGTTTTCATGGTGGATTTTTCTTTTTAAATTTCACATTCAAATCCTGATATTTTCAAATCGTATCAAAGGTTTTTGTTTAATCCATGAAACCTGCTCATGTGTTTCACAAGCAAACATTTCCACCTCATTTGACCTTGACCTTGTGGAGGCTGCGTCATCGGCCCGAACCCCCTCTCAGCCCATTCACACTTCACTTCCAGATCAATTAAATAGCATTAAAATAATCAATTCTCTGAACTCTGGATTTAATCTGTGATGTTTTTCCAGTTTTAAAAGTCATATTATTAATCATAACATATTATAAGACATGTATTAAACAATCTAACAACCACAGAAAAACGTTGAGAGTCAATATGTTGAAACCAACAGTAAAACGTCCGCTCTGTCTTCTAAAGATCTTCCACTACACTGGTGGTGTCGCCTATTTGGACAACAAGGGCCCGTTCAGGGACCGGCTGGAGTTCGTGGGGAACCCTGCGCGCCGCGACGGCTCCATCCTGCTCAAGAACCTGGATTTCAGCGACAATGGCACCTTCACCTGCGACGCCAAGAACCCCCCTGACATAGTGGGCCGGCCCTCCAGCGTCCGTCTGCTGGTCTTTGAGAAAGGTGACGTGGGGGGGCCGGTGGTCGGGTGGGAGGTTCCTCACTAACTGTGATGTCTGCATTAACTTACATCTGTGTCTGCACATTCGCTTTCCACTGAGCCCATATGGTGTATTGTGGTGAATGTTTTCAGAAGCCAACTGTTCCCAGTTGCAGTAACAATGATTCCAAACTCTTAAACAAATCTTCATTTCCACTGAGCATCAGACTAAAGCGAGTTCTGTGCTCAGGCCAGTCGCTGCACGGCTGCGTTTAGAATTCCTCCCATTTCCCCGTTAAATGGAAATGAAATCAATTACAGTCTTATCTCTCTCTCTATTTGAGATCGCTATCGTTGCCTCACTTCTTTTCTTCCCCTTCCCACTCGCCTTCACCTCCCATTTCTCTCCTCCTCCTCTTCCCTCATCGTCTTCCATTTCGTCCCATCCCCCTCTCTCAACATTACACAGTCCTTCATCATTCACACAACCTTTATTTTACCTTTGCTTTCTTTTTTAATCTCTCGTTACCTTGTCTTCCATCTTTGTTCCTTCTCTTTGTTTTTCGGTTAAATAAAGATGTTAGGGAGTAAACAGGGGACAGTGTCTTCAATTCGGTAGAAAAGTATATCGTCAAGATTGATCACGTTCTAAAATCAACAGATTCTACTTTCGTTTTCTTTCATTAGTTTTTCTTCTGAACACTCCAACCTCGCATTCTTCTCCGTTGTTCTCTGCTCCACCTTCTGACACTCCTCCTCCTCTCCTCCTCCTCCTCCACAGTGCCCATCCAGGCTGGCGTGATCACAGGGGCGATCATCGGGTCGGTGCTGGGCCTGCTGGTGCTCATCGTGGTCATCTACTACCTGATGAGGTTCCTGGTGGCACGCCGTGTCTTCAGCCTCAGTGTCAGGTCAGTGCCCGGCCTGTGGCCAGCGGTGCTCTGCCAGTCGAGTCTGTGCCAGGGACTGGAGCTGAGGCCGGAGCCCATCCCTGGCACCGACACCTGCGTGGCCAAGAAGACGTAGCTGCAGTGCCACGATTTGATTTGGGCTTAGATTTGGAATTGGTCAGCTGTGAAGAGACGGATAATAATCTCCCATATTTAGATTTAATTTCGCTTTAATCTTAAAAAAACCCTTTCTGCGTGGGTCCAAAGCAAGATGATTAAAAGTGATGGAGCAAAGGTGTCTGAGTGGATAATCCACGAGATCAGAAGGATGATGGACTCATCGTCCAATCGTAGAAGCTGGGAGCGTGGCACCGGGGGGGCTGTGTTTGAGGCCGGACCAGTAGATTACGTTGATGTTCTCATTATGATGGCTGCCAGGCAATGCTGCCCTGTGACCACTGGAGGGAGAGATGGATTCGACATTCTGACATTGTCTTTCTTTTGTCCCCTTCAGCAAACATGGCAAGAAAAAGAAGGAGGGATCACAGCAGAGACAGGCAAGTTCCCTCCACTCCTACCTCCATGTCCCCTTCTTCTTCCCCTTCCTCCTCCTCCTCCTCCTTCCTCCTGCTCCTTCCTTTTCCTCACACACGCCACGACATCCACACATCCGCTTGAAAACACCGAATGCAACAGCTTCATTTGCTGTCACATTCCAGTGCCGCGCAGAAAAATGACGAGAGATTACAGTGGCATTCAGTGTTTGAATATTTGCTCGGCACAGGAAACGTGTTGTCAAAAGGAATTTTCATCTATTCTGTTGCAGCGCCGCCACACAATAGCACACATCCAATATGACAGTGCATAACGGCACAGTTTCATAATCGCATTCCCCCCGTTGCCATTCCAAGCGGCTCCAATATGTCCGCCGTCTCCTCCTCGCAGAAACATATCAACAACAATAAAACGTGTCATTCACACCCAGCAAACGCTAATAACGGTGTTCAGGCTGTTAGAATTCCAGCGTCGCCTCAGTGTTGAAGTTGCTTTAAAGCCTGTTCTCTCTCGCGTGGCCCTCACCCCTCCTTCAGCCGCCTCAGGGGGGCTGAACAGCACAGCACTAGTAAACAGCCAGGGGGCAAAAATCAAACCAGTGACTGTGAAATGGCCGCGGCCAGGTCACAGCGCTAATGCTGTAGCAGTATTGAATGGGGCTGCGCTTCGCTCGCAGAGGGAAAATGGATGGAAGCTGCTGATTTCGCTCACTGGGAGTCAAATGAAAATCACTGGGCCTATTATGGTCTGGGCTGTTATCAGTGGTTTTACGCTGCTGCACGCCGAGGATTTGGGGCATTTTTTTCTCATCCAGTCCTCGTGGGAGTGTGATAGCCTCAAGTGGTGGATTAATCAGACATTTTGGCGGCTTGTATTCTTTTGTGAATACAAGGCACCGGGGCAAGTAGTGTTTGATTACTCTGCGGTAATGTGGGGGCTGGGTGGTTGCAGGGTGGTATTGTAATCTACTGTATGCCTTGCATGCTGATAACAACAAAAAGCGGGATCACGGGATTCCAGCTCAGTTTTCTTGTATTAAAAATCAGCTCTGCAACGAGAAGCAGAATTATCCAAGGCTGTAAATAAAAGGTTTTAGCGAGACGGTGAGTCATTTAGCTGCAGGTGAACGTAAAGAGGAAGCAGCAGCAGCAGCGAGCGTCTGCCCCTGTGCCTTGAACCTAGGGGGCGACCAAGTGCACTCACTCTCATTTCCCCGGAGCCTCTCCTCCTCCCTCTGTCTTCTTCTTCTTCCCTTTCTGCTGTCGTTTGATTGTCAGGTTACTCTTGAGTTGCAGTCAGTTGCTCTCAAGTGCCTGCGGTGGGTGACAGTGCATATATGAATAAATAACTCGCCGCCAAAAGGACACTGAAATATTTGACAACATTGTCATTTACAGTTACTCTCATGCAAGTCTCATGCAGCTCGGAGAGAAAATACACAGCTATTCCTTCTGAGCTCGAGCACACTTGCTTTTTTTATTTATTTTTTTATTTTTCCTCTGAGCAGATTCCTCTCTTGTAGCTACGCCACACACACAGCACCCACGGGATTTTATAGTGCGCTCATAAGTGGTTGTTTGATCAAATAGCCCTTATTAGGAGGCTCTGCTGACACGACGCAATTTTGTATCAGCCGCACCATCTTCGTTTCTCCCTGTTTGCTGGGCTTGCACTACAAATCTCCACGAGGCTGTGGGTGAGGGAGTGAGGGAGTGAGTGGGTGAGACAGAGAGACAAAGGAACCCCGTGGTGTGTGCTGCTCCCCATTAGGTGGAGTTGTGGGAGAGGAGTTTACCCGACAGCCACACACATAAGGAAGCTCACACACACACACACAC